AATTCTTACCCAAGACTTTCAGTTCAACAACATCTGTATTAATGTAAGTTAAAGAATTTTTCATGGAGTTCCACAGAGTTCTGTCCTAGAACCAATACTTTTTACATTATACGTTTCCCCTCATGCAATATTATTAAAAAACACGCATTTTCATTGCTATGCAGATGACACCAAGTTATATTTATCTACGAAATATGATAACACCAAGCAATTACTTAAACTACATCCATGCAGGAATTAACATCTGCACATTAACTTGCTGTAAGAGCTGCATAGTAGCAAACTCTCCAAAACCAGCTTTTTTAAATGTCTGTCAACATACAAATGCTCTTATAATTAAATGAGTTACAGTTGCATTAGAAGCTATTACAACTGTAATGCTAATTGTAATGTTGAAAGTCTAACCCTCTAGTTTCCATGCAAATTTTAAGGGGCTCTTCCATTTAGATTTTTTGAAATGTAAGAAGTAGTGGTGTTGTCATTCCACTGTGTCCCCACACGTGTGCATGTGTGTGTGTGTGTTAGAGAGAGAGTGAGACAGAAAGAGGGAGCGAGACAGAGGGACAGAGTTGAAAAATTCATGTAAGCTCTTTAAGGTCTTTTTCAAATCATTACACTAATTCTATATTCAGACATCTTCATGCAATGCAAACAACTATCAGAATTTTACATACATTATATAAACGATACATGTTTTTCAATGCCCGATAAAACTTTTATACCAGCTTCTGTTTAAAGATATACAGAACCACAGTTATACTTGTATTGCATTTGAGAATTTGACAATATAAAAAGGCATATTTAAAAATTGCCCACCATCCCTCAAAGCACAATGATAAAAGCCACAATCAAGTGATGTATGGAGCTGGATGCACATAACAGAGGTAGAAAATACCCATGGAAGCAAAAGCTAGCAACATTATCCAGCCTGATATTACTGGCAAAGCATGTAATAGGCACGTTGGTCCACCGTATCTATTACACGATTTGCCACGATACTGGACTACATTATCTGTCATTCCATAAATATCCATAAATAGCCTGTGAAGAGAAGCAAAGCAGACACTATTTCATGCAAGTAACAATTCTAATTTATGGTAAATGCATTTATATTGCACAGTATAATAAAACCCTGATTCCTGTAGTTCACACTTAAGCTGCTGTAACAGAATGTTTGGAGGACAACACTGAGTGAGATTTATGTTCTCATACCTGAGGTAAATTTAGGAAAAAATTAAAAATTCCAAAGCTTTCCAGAACCAAACTGTTTGCAAGACATGAACTTACAAACTTACAAGCAATCTTGTTAACTGAAAAAATATATTTGGAATCCATACATTTTACAACAGCACATCTTTGTGTGAAAGATAAAAGAAAACTGATCATGCATCAACACAGTGCGATTAACATCTGTCTGCATGGTCCTTTTCCTGTCCGTGTATGGCTTTGCAAAGATGAAAATGGAAACAATAATGAACAATTCCTATGACAACAAATAATACACCAATGCCAATTACTGTAATTTCTGAGTTCACAGAGAAAGCAGGGGTGTTGAAAAGAGTCTAGGGAGTTTATAATAGTTAGAACTCTCCCCCTATGGGGACAAATGCTCTTTTGCTTACCCTGGGTCACTTTTACCTGTCACAGGTTGTTTCTAGGGCTCTGAACTCATTTTTGCAGGATAATTTGTTTATGCTATTTCTTACTGCCTTAATTTCCCCAAAGAACCAGTTATCTTTTATGAACACCCTGCCTTCAGTCAGTCCATTTCCCCCTCAGGTGTAAACAAACTCCTGACTGAAAATATAATGTATTTCTATGGGTCAGTTTGAGGATTATCCCTCCACTTGGATCCACACAGTTCAAAAAGTTTGCATCTCTGAGCTTTGGAAGCCATGCTGTTGGAAAGACAACAACGATGGTGATGTTTTGAGGGTAAAATGGTGGCTGTAGAGCAAACACTGTGCACACAGCAGCAGTTGAAACATAAGTTTTAAGATTAATCTTGGCAGTGACAGACAGAGCTCATTAAGCAGGCAGGTGTGAGCCTGGTTGCTATAGCGACACCATCCAGTGGCACCACACACACACATACACACAAACAGACATACACCTGTCTGCTGCTGCTTTAAATAAACAGAAAAGTCATTGTGAAACAAATGCTTCCCAAGAAAATACTACAAGTTGTATTGACAAAAATAAAATATTATAATAATAAAGATTTGAATAACAATGCTGTGAATGCTTTTCAGTATTCACACTAATAATAATAAAATAGTATAATAATAAAGATTTGAATAACAATACTGTCAATGCTTATCAGCATTCACACTAATTAAGAAAAAATCCAATTTAGAAATATACTTTTTTTTTAAACAACCACACAAGACAGAGTGAACTTGTATTTAGAAATGCATAACTAACAGGGCTCTGGAGGTAGAGCAGGTCATCCACTAATCAGAAGGCTGGTGGTTCAATCCCTGGCTGTTACAATCTGCATGCCAAAGGATTCTTGGGATACTGAGCCCCAAGTTACTCACTGATATGATAAGTGTGAATGCTAGATAGAAAGCACTTAAGTACAAAAACAGTAGAAAAAAGTACTTCAAGTGGAAAGGTTCTTTATAAGAAACAGTCTCTCTAAACAAAGCTATTATCAAACAGATTGGTTGATGCAGGATAGTTTAATTCTCATTAAGATTTTCAGTTACACAACAATAGCTGCCTGCCACCAAATGAGATGTAAAAACAATCCCTGATCCTGATTCTATCACATTTGTAAAACAAATTGAGCCAGGGGAGTCCTGAATTGGGGTCCTTTCCCCGAAATGTAAACACATATACATTCACTCAGGTGAGAACAGATTCTATTTATCATCACATACCAGGGTTTAATGTTTTCCAACAGAAGACAGACCAGACATGGTCACACAGCACGTGGAGCAGCTTACCTTCAATCATTTACCACAAATTTTGAGGAGCCTCCTTTACTTGGACTGAACTGTACTGGTCCATAATA